CACCCCCGCGCCCCCCCCCCCCCCTCGGAGCCAGAGTGTCCCCTCCCGCGGAAATCCGCCTTCGCCCCCTACAACAGGCGGGTGAGCGAGGGCTCCTACCGCTTCAGCCCCGAGGCCATGTACAGCCGGGCTTACTACACCAACCTCTACAGCCCTGCCTTCAAGAAGGACTGAGCCGGCAGGGAGGACGAGAGCATCCCAGCCCCCCCTTTCATCTTCCCCCCAGCACGCTTCGCCCGGGCCCCCGCCAGCCACCCACACGCACCCCCGTACCAGGACAGGAGCTCAAAGTGGTAGACATGCCGTGGGATGTCTTCTCCTTCTGGCGTGCTTCGGGGCCAGGATGGGGGAATAAAGGCAGCCAAAAGCTCTGTTGGTGGTAGGAGAAGGTAGGGGAAAGTGGGACCAGAGTGGACCAGAGAGGCGAAGGAGATGCAGAAGCAGCGCTGAGACCAAAAAAGGGACCAGCCAGGCCTGGCACCGGGCCACCCTGGTCCCTGCTGAGCAGAGAGCATGGACTGAGGTGGGCTACACGGTGAGAACAGCACTGAGAGAGCAGGGAGGACAGCAAAGCCATCCAGTATCACCATAGCAAACCTAGTTCCCCATCCTTCCTCCCTTCGTCCCCCCTCACAGGACCCATCCCTGGCCACAGATTGCTCCTCTGTGGAGGAGCCAGAGGCCCCCACTGACCAGCAGGACTCATGATCATGTCGGGAAGCCGTGGGCACTCACCCCCGGCTGATGGTGGGGTCAGGAAGAAGACTGGTGACAAAGGGTGGAGCTCCTCTCTCCCACAGAACCTCCTGGCTTCCCGCAGCACCTTGTTGTACCCACTGCAACAATAAACCTTCCCAGCCTGCCGCTCACCCCGGCTGCTCTGCTGCTTTATGAGAGCGAGCGACCCGACGGGAGCAGAGTGGGGAGAGACACCTGACCCACGGCCGAGGGGGCGGGCACAGAGACTCATCCTTGGGTCGCTACCACCAGCGTGGCAGGTGCTCACACCCTGCACAGCACGTGTCTCTTCCCATGCTGCAAATACAAATTCACAGCCCTGAGGAGCCTGGGGCTTCCTGCCAAAGACGATTTATTGCATTTCCAGAAGTACATAGCAGGGAAAACAGTGTCCGTACCACACACACAAACCCTCTTCCAGCACCCTGCCTTCCCAGGCACAATAGGGAAGGGTTGGGCGAGAAGCAGGGAAAAACTTCCTGGCAACAGATGGGTTCAGGTGATGAGCCCGGTGACCCCTCTCCCCACCTCCCTTCCTCCCCAGGGACAGGCAGCCGACAGGAGCAGCTTGGGAAGGCGCGTGGTGCAATCCCCATCCTGGGAACAAGCCATGCATCTGGTTTTTGCCAGGCAGGGCCCCTACACAAGGAACAGTGCTGCAATCGCTGAAAGGCTGCGGGAGAGGACCACGAGCAGGATGGTCCAAAAGCAAGGCAGGTGGGATGGGAGGTGTCAGCCCTCACCGAAGTCCTCTGGGACTAGCTGATGCCATGGGCTCTGCAACACGATGATGCACACCTGGGAATTGCCAGTGGCTTCCCCGGTGGAGAAACCTTCACCTTGCCAGCTCACGGGTGCTCCAGGGTCACCAGAGAGGAGCCTGATGAGCGTTAAACAGGAATAAGGATCCCAGGGTAGGAGTGGGGGGACAGGGAGCTGGGCAGCTATGCAGAAGCCCTTCCTCACCAACAGCTCCAGCTGAAGGAGCTGGGGATGACGCTGCCTGGAGCTGTGGCAAAATCACCTGGTGGTTTCCAGTGTTGAAGGATGGAAGGAGAAAGCAGGAGGCACCTAAAAAAACTGGTATGGCAAAGGATAGAGACTCTGCCCTATCACAGAGCCAAGAGGAAGGCACTACAGTCCTCGGCTGCACGGGCTGTGTATGGCAGGTCAGCCAGACCCCAGCATCAAGAGGACAGCAAGGAGCCCATCGTACCTATGGAAACACACACACCATCTCCGTGGGCACCCAGGGAGCAGGCTTGGTCCAGCCGGGCAGCACAAAGAGAAGCAACACCCATGCCGTGGCTCAGAGGGAGTCTGTTCGCTTCCGGGCAAACACAGCTGACATGGTTTTGACGATGCCACGGATCCCTGTACCCCTTTTCAGTGCCAGTTTGGTGTCAGGGATGCGCTTGGCCAGTCCATGGAAGACCATGAGGGCACCGTGATAAGCCTCGGCTGCAGAGACCTCGTAGAAACCACAGTCTGAAGAGAGGGCCAGGAGCCGCCCCTCCTCGCTGGACACAACCCGGTGGTGGTGCAGGTCCCGTTTGTTGCCCACAATGACGATGGGCACCTTCTCCTGGCTCTGCCCCCCCTTGGCTGCCTTGATGAACTGGATTTTGAGGGGCAGGATGTTGAAGCTGGCACGGTCGCAGATGCTGTAGACCAGGACAAAGCTGTCTGCCCACTGGATTCGCTTCTCCTCCGAGGACCCCTCCTCTGCCGGCTCCTGGGGAAAGAGAAAAAGTTTTTTTTTTATCCAGCTCCCTCCCTCCAGGCTTGCTTGCCAGCACAGGGTGCAGCAGTCCTGAGCCCGTTGACAGGGACAGCTGGGAAGTAGCAAAAGGGCAGAGAGAAAGAGGTTTTTTTGTCCCTGGGGTGAAAACAGATGACAGGTGGAGCCTTCTCACCTGGGAACTGGGGACATCCCAGATGTGGAGGAGAATCTCTCGGCCGTCTACGGTCATGTTGTGGCTGTAGATGAATTCTGCCCCCCAAAAAAAAGAATGTCACCTTCATGGACCCAAGAGATATCTCCCTCAGTCCAGGCCTTCTCCTGGGGACAAGCCTGTCACGTCCACCCCAGGAGAACATCCTCCAAAGGGCAAGGTCTAAGGGCTGCTCACACAGCAACAGCCACACAGAGCACGGTGGCCTTCACATCTGTGACCCCCCCCTGGCCTGCCTCCACCCCCACCTTTGGTCCAGGCACACTGGTGCTACCAGCTGCCACCCAGGAGCTTTTGCAGCCAGAGAAGCAGTTCTGGAGCAAAGAGAAGGGTCACCGAACAAATACAACCATCGAGCCCCTGGGAGCAGGCAAAGGCTCTGGAGATAGGCAGGAGAGGATGGGAAGCAACAAAATCCCACGGGCAGGAGCAGGCGCGTCTCCTGACCCCAGTCCCTAAGAGGAACTGGCCTGGCGCAGCACTCACCCATGTCTCCGTACTCCCCGATAAAGCGCCGGGTGAGGAAACGCACAGTCAGGGCTGCAGAGGGGAGAATGAGAATCATCAGAACAACCCTAAATCTGAAGGATTTTCCTCTGTAAGTCTGAGCAGGGTCAGGCGCCATCCGTCCCCCTGCAAGCTCCGACTAGCAGGAACAACCTCCGGCTTTCTCCCCGCCTGCGGCAGGTCTGCGGGCAGAGCAGAGGCACAGCGCAAGCAGAGCATACCGCCTTCCCCATCACTCGCCCGCTGCCCGCAAGGTTGCGCTCAGCTTCCCCACCGTGAATCGCTTCCACACGTGAAAGCTCAGCCCCAGCTCGCTCCATGGGCTTCCCCTTGGCAGCTTGTTCTCCAAATGCCCTTATGGGGGGACGTATGGCTCTCCCTGACCAGGAAACCCCCGCTCCCAGCCCGCGGTCGGTTCTTACCCGATTTCCCCACATTGTCCGCTCCCATAATGAGGACGTTCGCTTCCATCTTCAGGGCAGTGGGGCCAGGCACCTCCATGAGGGCAGGGTGGTCAGGGGTGAAGCTGGCGCTCCGGCGCAACGGAAGCCGGAGCCCCATGTCGAGCACGGCCTTGCCTCACCAGCGGTCCCAGCAACTCCTCTCTGTGCAGCCAAGGAGCCAGCGCTTCCCACGGCACCCAGGGGACCCGCAAGGGCCATACCCCTCCCCGCAGCCACAGGGGCGGTGCAGCAGGAGCTGCAGGCGGGCAGAGGGAAAACTTGGTTATCGCTCAGATCATCCTGAACGTATGGCAGTGCCCAGAGCCGGCCCTGCCATCCCCTGGCACGGCAGGTGGCCAGGAAGCACCAGCTGTCCCGCAAACTGCATCCCAGGAGACGGCCCACGCCTGCACGTCAAGCACGTTGTCCCTCGGCAGAGCCACACAGCCCCTTGTCCCTTCCCCGCGGTGATCCTGGGAACGCCTGCGAGGAGGGCTGGAGCGTCTCACGCGTGGTGGAGCAACTCATCTCACGAGTGGTGGAGCGTCTCATGAATGACGGAGCGCTGGCTTGACAGGTGATGGAGCGCTATCTGATGAGTGACGGAGCGTGGTCTCACAAGCGATGGAGCACCTCAC